AAAAGCTATTGAGGTACATATGCACACTTTGAAAAGAATGCAGGTACTTTCATGTTTTGAATGCAGATTCAATTCTCAATAAGAAGGGTTGCTAAACATTCTTTCAAAGACTTTGCACAGATCTATTGCAAAACCCCTTCAGTTCATCATTAAATAACCCAGATTTCTAAGACTAGCGAGACATATCAAAATATTGGTCACTGATTCCATCACCCACCATTCCTTTTCTCAAGTAAATCTTTCATTTCTTACTGCTAAACAGTTGCCTTGGAGGCTACAGATAGTTGTCTATTAGGCAAAATAAAAAGAGAACCAATTTCTTATGAGATTACAGGGGTTTTGACCATGAGCATTTTTATCCACCTATCAAGTCCTTCCCAAGGACCTGAATGGACAGATGTTGTGTGATAGCAATAAACATATAATCACAGGAAATAAACTGTTCCAAATATAGCTGCCTATTGCAAGTGGTTTTGTCAGTGTCACATCAACCTATTTTCCTTGGTAATTAGTGTCCGTCAACATTGCTGTGTAGATCAAGGGCATAATTTATTGTCATTTTTTTGGTCATCCTGCCCAGGACTTTTAGTTCTGCAGTAGTTCAGTCCGCTATCCAGCTATGTAGCTAATGATCAGAATTGTCCAGGTAGTCATTGTCTTGATAGCATTTCCTCTCCATTGAGTTTGGACTTTAAAGATTTTCTTTACTCTCAAAATGTATTCGCTTCCAGTGATTCCAGTGATTCTAGTGGTAACTTTTTTGCTGGATCTTTCATTATCAGGTAGATTTTGCCAGGTGTTAACTAATCTTCAATTTCAACTAATTTTATCCTATGTTGTTAAACTGCTTGGCAATGAGTGGGTGTAGACCAATCAGATGTTTCAACCAAAAACCATGCAATTCATCTTCACCTGGTGCTGACTAATTTTTGATCTTCCTTCAGGGGTGGGTTCTACTTACCTTTACTCTCAGTTCGCAACGGGAGTGCGTGCACTTCTGCGCATGCGCAGATCATTAATTATGACGTCTGGGTGGGTGGAGCCTCCCACTGCTTTTACTATCAGTTCTAAAGAACCAGACAGAAACGGGAGCAACCCACCTCTGTCTTCCTTGCCCTTTTCTCCATCATTTCTGCTAAGTTATTTCATTTCAGCTTCTTTTCATTCTTATCCATCTTCTTTATCCAAGTTAGATTCTTGTTGTATTTCTTTCACTTGTCCCAAATCTGCACCCAGAACTGCACTGTTTTTTTTTCTTTGTCAGGTGTTGATTCATTGGTTCACTGAAGTCTCTCCATTGATGGAGAGAAAATCAGTAGAAAAACTGATTCATCTGAAAATGGAGATTCTACCTATAGTGCACAATTCAAGCTTCATATCTCTTAATCTTCTTGGCTATAACTATTATTTGTTGCTTTAGTATTTCCAGTGTTTCCTTAGTCTTCTTTGTTTCTAGGTCACATTTCTTGATCAGGTATTCTTTGGTCTCCTTGTTCTTCAATTTCTTTTCTTTCATCTGTTCTAGCTTGCTTGGATCTGATTTTAATACCGTTTTCCCCAAAAAAGACATCCCCTGATAATAAACCCAATCAGGCTTTTGAGCGCATGGCAATAAGGCCAAGCGCTTATTTCAGGGTTCAAAAAAATATATAAGACAGGGTCTTATTTTTGGGAAAATACGGTATGCTGATCATATTTTCTAGCCTAATCTTCTAGTTTGGTGTGCACTGTTTGGCTTTTTTCTTCTTAGTTGATTTTGTATCTCAATTATTCAGTTATAACCACAGCCATGATGTACACTAGTTGGTTTATTTTTTGCAGTGAGGTGTTTATATTTGAAATTACTAATTATTGGCATCTTTTTAATAATTCTGCTAGGGTTTTTTTGTCTCAAGCTTTAATGAAAACAACATTTATTCTGTTGTTTTTGTGCTGTTCTAGATGCTCAATTATTCTCTTTCAATTTTTCTTTTTTAGTTAAAAGGCTTTGTTCTTTCTGAGTAAAAGGAAGAGAAGTGGGTGCCTGGTTTGAGAATGAAAATGATTCAATAGCTCTGCTCTTCCTCTACTGCTGACTCCCCCGGTTTGCCTCTATAATCTGAGCTAGTTCTAGCAAGTGTTTGGGTTTTTTTCTTTGCCCTGGATAGACCTTTGCAATTCTTCCCATTCTGTTTCTATGAATACTTTATTTTGTATTGTAAATTGATGTTGATCTGCTAGCCTCTGTTCTATTATTTCTGATTCTGGTGGTGTTGTTCTCAAAATTGGTGCATTCTTTTCAGATTCCTTTTTTTGTTGGAGTGGATTTGTAAGCACCTTTTCTTTCAGTAGTACTGCAGTTGCTATCCCCTGGATGCTCAAGCAACCATCCTAAATCCTGTAAGCGCATTTACCATCACATGACCAGGAATTCTAACACAGTTAGAATTCTTGTTGACTCAGGTGGTTCTTGTTGACTCAGGTGGTGATTAATCAAAAATGGGCTTCTGTAAATTACATCTCACCATATTATTTATGGAAGAGACACTCTTCATCTGGCAGCTCTGGTGAGACATGTCCAGTATGTTTGAACCACTTTTTAGCTTTCATCTTCCTCAGAGTACACATGTTCCACAACCATGTCAAAGTAGTGTCTCACTGGGGGATTATTGTTATTATTTTGGGGCATGTGTTGCTTTCTCATCATACAGTGACTTAGTCTGAAAAAGCTCCTTCAGTAATTGCTCCACTTAACCACTGATCTGAATCCACCATCTGTAATTGTTTTGCATTTTTTACACTCAGTCTCAATAACATTCTGTGAAATATTTATTCTGCTCACAGCCAAGCTGTTTATTTCCTCTTTGAATGTCACTAAATCAACATTTCCTTAGGATGTTGTGACCTATGCAAACTGAAGTTCAAGATTCCATGGATAGCTTTTTGATAGAATATTTTTGAACAAAAGAAGTACAAAATGAATAGCCATCCCAAAGAATGCCACATTTTGCTTGAAACAAAATAATAAGGACATTTAGAGGTTCATGTCTATGCAAAAGTGGACCTTTCAAAAGAAGTTTAAAAAGCATTAATAAGATTTACACTATATATAGTGTTACTCCTGTGGGTAGTATCTGTCTTCCTCAATCTCAGGTCCTCTACCAGAAGACTGGGACTTCATGGGTTTTGCACAGCATCTTAGCTGCTCCTAGCATGCTAGACTTCTGGATAGGGAACACTGCTGTTTTTCCTGGGAACTATTGGAGTGACTGTCCTAGCTTAGGTGTCACAGCCCCAAGTGTTTCTTCCACTACTATGATCATTTTGCATTTAATTTTCCACATCCTCTCTAGTTCTTCCTTCAGGCCCTGGTACTTCTCCTGCTTTTCATACTCTTTCTACTTGATGCGGCTCTCACTTGTTACTGTACATCTGGAGTGGCATATCATCTGGCCAAGCCATTTACGCTTCCTTCTGAGGAGATCTTTAGAATAGTATATTGGGACATGATTATGGGGTGTCTGCCTCATAAGGCTCTGAGGTTCCCCTCAGGGAGAGCATTTAACTATAGCCAGCTGTGTGAAGGCAGGAAAGTGAATTTGTGGCACTACTGCTGCTCATTGGGAGAGGCACTAGGAAAGTGTGTTAAGAGATCCCCTTGGGCCACCCCATCATTACTTTCAGTTGAGTTACATTAAAGTAGCAAATAACTGAATCTTTCAATAAAGCAAGCCATTTCCGCTCAGGATATTTGTGACTTCAGTTCCTCTAAAATGGGTTAGTGGGCTGGCCTCCAACTGAATAGTTGGATAATTGACCTGGCAATCATTAGAAAATCTTTGGCCATATTTCAGAATCTCATAGATGACATAATATATCAATGCCATTTTGATCTCAAGATATGGCACTAAAATTTGTATTTACTATTACCATCATTTGTAGTTCACTGAAAAAAAATCAGCCTATTTTCTGTTGATCGTTATATTCTTCATTATATGGAATTGTTATTTCCCCTCTTCTTTCCATATTGATTGTAAGGTTTTTATTTTTTAAAAGGCATGTGACAGAAGTAACATTATAATTATTCATTAAGCACTGTAGTGGAAATTAATATCTAGGCAAGCAAACCACAAGCCACATGTTTCCTTCACATATCAAATTCATCAAATAAACCAGGGGTGTCAAATTCAATTTCACTGAGGGCTGCATTAGCATTGTGTTTGAACTTAGGGGACCGGGATGGGCATGGCCAGTTCAACGTCACTTGTATGCCTATGGTGGCCTGAGTGCTCTGCCAGCAAAAACAGGCTCCCAACCTCTGTTTTCAGCTGCAATGGCCTCCTGCAACCCTCTACCAGTGAAAACAGAGCTCAGGAGGGCCACCAGCAGTCCTCTTGAGCTCCATTTTCACTGGCAGAGGTATTGCGGGCTGGTCCTTCACTATTTCCAGGATGGCCCTGTGGGCCAGACCTAAGCACTCCATGGACTGAATCCGGCCCCAGGCCTTGAGTTTGACACCCCTGATATAAAGGGCAGCAAACATATGAGGAAAAAATATGGAAGTTTGAATTTTGAAATGTTTGAAAAATAAAGTTTTCCCTTTGTTTTGAAACTACAGATGATTGAATGGTATAGGTTCAGGATCACAATCCCATCAGTGAAATTCATAATATAATGGCAATGTCTTATTTTCAGGAAAATAACCACCTGCAGTAGAAAACTCAGAAATGCCAAATTAAATTAAAAGGCTTTATAATGTCATTTATTTTAGATGAGAAGTGTCTCTTGCTGCGTGAACTTTAAAAAAAGTTTGGATTAGCGTATCAGAAGTGGTTTTTCTCAAAGTAAATGGCACTTATCTACTCTTTTGGCTACACAGACTGCTGTTCGGTGAAGGAGAAATGAGGCCTGGCTCCAAATATCAATTCTCTTTTAACATTCAGTAAATGGCCTAGGTGCTAAACATCAGTGTAACACTAAGACACCATAAAAAATAGAAATTCTCTTTGATGAATATTTACCTGAGGTGAAGCTGTCATGGCAATATGTAGAAAAGCAAGGAAGGAAGATTAGTGGCTAATATATTCACAGCACGAATGTCTAAAGATGTCCCAAAACATTTGACTTCTGGAAATGAATGAGAGGTGTTACTAAAAACGTGTGGAAATCCACAGTGAAATGCCAATAATCTGTACAAGTTTCTTTTAACTTCCTGCAACATTCAGAGAAATATATGAACAGAGTAGGATTTTCCAATTCAAACCATATTTAACTTTAGGGGTAAAAGCCTATCTACATTCACAACTGTGCAGAAGATATTTGGAATGATATGCAAATTTATTTGGGCTTCTTTTGAAATCCTTGCAGTTGATTCTGCTGCAGGTCCAACTAGAAGAAATACAGTTTGCACAATTAGCAACAACACAAATCATTGTTTTGTTTTGTTTTTTAAAAAAAGGCAGCATCTCCATTCCAGAGTAAAACTCTGGCAATGAGTTTGGGAAAGACAGGAGGATTAACTTTTTGTCCCCTCATTTACTCCTTATTTGGGTTGGCTCCTCCGAACGGTATTTGCACTGGAGGGAAGAGTTTCGATTCTATCTCAATACATGTGTCAGCGTTCTAAGTAATGCATCTGCCAAAAGCAGAACTCTGAGGCAGGTAGATTCCTCAAAGAACATGTTTATTGAATACAGCATATCGGCACAGCTAGTGAAAACCAACTCTAAAAGTTCCTGAGATTTTTTCCCCTAATTAAAAGAGCAAATATTTCCCTCCCCAGAAGTCACCAGTCACATTTTCCAATTAAAGTAGCTGGCAGGCTGCTTGGTCACTCCTCTCCTCCTTCAACTGCCACCGGTTGGGATGGTCTTGGTTCCTACAAGAAAACCTTATTGTTTTAACTGTTAACCAGTCTATCTACTTCCCCCTCCCTTCCCTCTCTCAGAGTTCGTGGCAACTATGAGGCAGCAAAAGATGACTTCAGCTAGGTTTGCTTCAGAGTTGACAACAGGATTAGTACTAATCCAGGACTGCTACCTCGATACTCTTTTAAGTGAAATAATAATTGTGCTTGTTTGCTCTGATGTCATTCTTCTCCTGGCCACTGCTTCCTTGTCACTGCTATCTCTCTCAGCTGCTTCCTACTTTTCCCTCTTCACCATGGCTGCAACTCTATCAATTCACTATTATCATGCCTCCTACCTCCTCCTCCATACCATCACTACCGCCATTGCCAATCCTCCTCACTAGAGCTTGAGAACCAGCCAGATTAGATAAGAAGTGTGTTGGGCAGCTAATTACTTGTTTTCTCTGCCTAATAGTAATTCAATCCAATCTGTCACTGCCTTGGGTGTGCACAACCAATGAGAGCATATTAAACTCCTTGGGGAAATTATAAATCCAGAATATGCAAATTACATTAATCATTATTTGGAAAGCTAGTGGCTACTTCAAGGGAGCAGTTTTATTCTGGTGCTAGGATTTAGTTACAGAAATAGCAGCAAGTTGCTGTGCCCTTGGAGTATGAAGGACAGAATGGATAACCATTAGGTAAAGGTAAAAGTTCCCCTCGCACATATGTGCTAGTCGTTCCCGACTCTAGGGGGTGGTGCTCATCTCCGTTACAAAGCTGAAGAGCCAGTGCTGTCCGAAGATGTCTCTGTGGTCATGTGGCTGGCATGACTAAACGCCAAAGGCGCACAGAATGCTGTTACCTTCCCACCAAAGGTGGTCCCTATTTTTCTACTTGCATTTTTTACATGCTTTCGAACTGCTAGGTTGGCAAAAGCTGGGACAAGTAACGGGAGCTCACCCCGTTACATGGCACTAAGGATTCAAACTGTTGAACTGCCAACCTTTCAATTGACAAGGTCAGCGTCTTAGCCACTGAGCCACTGCATTCCTTTCCAGATAACCACTAGATGCCTACAAAAAGTTAGTTTTCTGGATCATTAGTTGCCATCTGGTGGACATCCCAGATAGTACAACATTTATTGCCTACTCACCTGCAGCTATTGCTTACAGTTCTGCCCTCAATCATACATAGATTTGTTTGTGGACATGTACTAGACCTCTAACCAAGTAAAATCAAGTTTGTTTCTTTTATGATAGAAGGCCTGATCTCCTTGGTTTAATGATGATATTTAATGGTGATATTCTTGTTAACAGACAGATAAGAAATTAAGCAAAGGAAGAAGCCCAGCAAATAGATTAAATCAGGGGTCCCCAACCCCTGGGCTGTGGCTGTTCAGAACCTGGCTGCCCAAAGCAGTGGGTGAGCGCGCACCCATCCCCACTTGCACAAGCAGCAGTGAGTGCATGTGCTCCTTTTGTGCAAGCATCATGCCCGCATGCACACCGCTTGCACAAATTGAGCTGTCCATGCACACTTGCCCACCGCTTGTGCAGAACCATCCCCTCTTCCCTCCCGCCGGTCTGCAAAGCTGGAAAGGTTGGGGAACTGTGGATTAGATCACATTGTATGCAGAAAATATGTTCAGTCTGGAAATAAAGCATGAAGAGCTAGTTGCCTCAAGATTCTCACCCTGAAATATTAGTTAATCTAAAGTAACCAATGCCAGGATTAAGTGAGCAATAATATGATTTAAGATATGATCGCTTTCCGTGCTCCTAAAATTACTCTAGAAGACCCATGTAAATGGTTCCTAGCAAAAACCTAAAAAAAAAAAATCCAACTATTGCAAAAACATTAGCACTAGTGTGTTTGTGTGTGTGTGTTGAATATTTTTATAACTATAAAAAAATGTTGTTTATAATAACAGTATACAAAAACAAATTAAATGATAAAGAGAAATCAATCCAGCAAATCAATGATGAAATTATAATACAAGCATAGAAAAAAAATCAGAAGAAATCTATATTAATATAAACCACCTAAATGAATCATAGATTCATTTAATTATTTAATAAGATATACAATTGTGCATAAATAGATTCTATTCTTATAAAACATTATCCATTATCTTCATCTTTTCTGTAAGATACAGTCTGTGACCAAGAAACAGTGAATAGAGTCAGAAGAACTGCTTACATTTAATCCATCTTGCCTGCCTTTTGTTAGGATGATTGCTGGCTAAAGGGATTCAGTGCATGCCTAAGAAATGCCTGAAGGCCACAGAAAATAATAATCTTTTCTTCTCCCATTTTAGTTGATGTAATCTGGGTCTGTGAAGAAGAAGCAAGCGCAGAAGAGAAGGAGGAAGGGAGGGAGGGAGGGAAGGAAGGAGAGTGGGAGAGAGCTGAGGTTTAACCAATGTGAAAGGATTCCGGTGGAACTAACTGCCTTCTGGAGAACATTTTAGGAAATAAGTTTGCATAACACCCTAATCAATAGATTCTCAGACAGATTCTGCGACTCCCCAGACATTTAAAGCTGATGCTAAACCTGTATATTTATGCATATATTCAAATACTATAAAATGTCAGAATCCTGCCATCCATAGGAAGCTAAACCCAAGTCATTTCTGAACCTGTTACATGCTTGTCATATTAAGTAATAATATCCCTACTGTAGGTAGGCCAAAAAATAAAAAATAAAAATCACTTAGCTACTGACCTAAGTTTGGGGAAATTTGTGTCTTACTGCCTCATAGATTTGCTTAAACAGTCGGTTTTGTTTCTTCCATTGTAAAATGGAATAAAGTTTAATTCACACTGCAATTATAATGAATGCTAATCAAGCTAGACTATTGGGGTGGGGTGGAATTAGGAAAATGAAAGGTTTGCTGTTGGCACAATAGTCCTTTAAGCTGGTTTATGATTTCAGAATTCTAATTTTAACACACTTTAATAACCTGAAAAGTGCTTAAGGCTTTAATAAGTTCTGTTCATCGTTTCATAGACTTTGCCCCCATCTTTCATAAATATGCTTGGCTCACTGATACGGTGGCCTCAGAGTCTGACTGTGGAGCTGCTTTACTACTCTGCAAGAACCCGGTTTTCTGTTCCTGGGATTATTATTTTGATGTTCCAATATGATAATAATTGTTAGGATATGGTCTGAGCCTAACAAGTTGTCCAGGCAATATATGTGTTCTGTGACTTTAATATGAATATGTATCATGTGACTTTAAAGTTTTACTGTTGATTCATTGTAATGCTGAGTCATGCTGTAATTAGATAATCACCGGTTGTGAATGTATTTAAGGAAGGTACTGTAACGTATTCAGTTGATGATAAACTACCATAGTGTGTGGAGTTGCTACCATTGTGCTATCATCATTGGATGGATCTCCTACCATCGTGGTTTGTGAACCAGAGTGAGTTTGTTATTCTAATCAACTACTGTTTGTGTGGTAAGAAGATTTTATATCACTGGACTGATTTAACTGGCAAAGACTTGGATTGATTTAAAGACTATGAGATTGTTTTTTCACTATAAAGTAAACTTTTGATAAACCAGTTTGCACATCTCTTATTCATTGCTCTCAGCAACGTTTCTCTGTGCTCTACACTCTGCTGGTTGGTAACACAACAACAATATCCTTAACAATAATACCTCACATTTATTCAGTTTATTCTATCTTAAAGGTGTTCTCTAAATGTATATGTAGAAACAATAAGGCAATCTTCCTAAGAAAAAAGTTTATTGAGGATTATATTAAACATTTGGGGGGGGGGGGAAAGGTGTTTCATCAAATGTGTATTTGTCGTCAGGATATAAAATACAAAGGAAAAAATAATAATGGGAAAAATAGGGGCTAGCGAGCAAGCTCTATGCAGAACACATGGGGCCCCAAAGGCAGAAATATCAGGGTCATGAGCTATGGGTGTATCATCTTCCACTTCAATAATAAGAGGGGGGAGGTGATCATTGAGCAATACATAATTTTTTTTTAATTGAAAAGTTTTACAAAGAAAAATTCCCCCCCATTCCCCCACCCCTTTTCCCTCCCCACCACTCCCCCCCTTCCCATCCCCGCCTCCCGCCTCCCCCCCCAGACTTCCCAGAGCAAAATACAGGGTATTTCAGTTAACAATCATAAGCTAAATTAACCTAACTATTCTTAAACTGCAAAAAAACCCCTGAAACCTTAACTCCACTATGGCTAGAATTTAACATTCATTCATAAGCTATTTGATATTTTCTTGTCTGATACTTATTT